ATTATGGCTTATTCCATTCCAACTTAACATTTGGGATTCTAACTTGGGGAAATGCTCTAGCTTCACTTCACTACAAAGACTTTTTATCTCGCAAAAATAGGCAGTTTGCTCTATTCTGTGGGTAAATTATTATGAACCATGCTGATCACTATTTAAGCAACTTAGCATAATGACCCTGTTTTCGCAAATAGTATTTGAATACTTGCTAGCTATAAAAAATAATTTGGGAAACTTCACATGTCATTCAGACAATCATACATATGATACCAGAGGAAAAAATCAGCGCTAATCCAAACGAGAACTAGAATAAACAAGTCCCAAACAATAGGCATTTCATTCTATAATGCACTTCCACCCCACATCCGTAATCTACCAGGAAAAAAAGTTTAAACATCTAATTAAAAAAATATTACTGGGCATGTGTCTATATAACACTAACGATTATTTTGTAAGAGTGAAACATGTCACCTAATATTTTTAATATTGTATTTTTTATATATTTTTTATTACTATTACCAACCATGATCTTTTAATAATAATAGTTTAATAATAATAATAATAGTTATAAGTTACAATAATAAATAAGTTACAATAAATTACAATAATGGAAACCAATTATATAATAACAAGCACCTAGGTGAGGACACCTGTATGTGCTGACAAAAATTAAAATTTTATTTAATTATTTTTAATTAATTATAAAGGAAATAAAAAAAAAACATTTTTTTTAAATAAAAAATAAAACTTGAACAATTTATGCAAGAAACTTTGCATTATTTTGAAAAATGTATATTTTGCTAACTTTGCAGAATTTTTTTATATTTGTTCAATAATTTTATATGAAGAGGTAGAGCGTTATAGAACTTTGTCCCTAGATAATTTACACTGTTTTTAAACCCAATTTTAATTTAAATGAATATGCTGTATGTTAATGTATGTAGAATGTGATGTATTTTACTATTTATGTGTACTGACGACTATGTAAACATGTTTATATATGTATTACTGAGAATAAAATATTTGTATAATAGTAAAAAAAGTATACAAAAATGGTTTTCATTCACATAGACCAGTGGTCGCCAACCTGTCGATCGCGAGCTCCCGGTAGCTCGCGGAGGCAATTCTGGTAGCTCTCACAACGATTTTAATTTAATAAATACAAACTGCAAAAATCAGAGAAGCTTCCGAAAATTCCACAAAAAAATCTAATTGTCATAATATTAAACATAAACATCGACAACGTTGCGGTGAGCAATCTGCCGCTGACGCCATCAAGCTAGAATCGGCTGGAACCGACCAGCCGGACCAGCGCGTTAGTGTTCGAGAACGATCAGGATTGCAATGAACGGGATAAATACGCACGGCGCGGCGACATTGCGCTTATTTTAAAACTGAACGAGTAACCAACGTTCAGCGGTTGGGTTAGTAGAAAACAACAAAAAATAATATTATGGCAAGCAGTTGTAAGAAGGTAAAGACATACCACTTTCATTTGGAATGGGAAGAACAATACTTTTTTACAGAAGTTAAAGATAAAAATGTGTGTTTGTTATGTAATACCTCGGTCTCCGTTGCTAAAAAAGGAAATATTGAGAGACATCATAAAACTGTTCATTCTAATTTTGAATAATCATTCCCACTACATTCTGCCGCCAGAAAGGAGAAACTGAAACAGTTAAAAAAGCAGTTAATTGGACAACAATCAATATTTTTAAGAACAGTCGACAAAAATAAGGCTGCAACTGAAGCATCGTACCGTGTGTCCCAGATAATTGCACAAAAAAAGAAATCTTATGAAGACGGGGAAATGATAAAACAGACGTTTTTAGAAGCTGCTGATTCGTTATTTGCCAACTTTAGAAATAAAGACGAGATAGTTTCAGCTATAAAATCTATGCAACTTTCTGCTAATACAGTGATGAGACGTGTAGAAGTAATGAGCAATGATATTTTTTTAGAGTTAAGAACTGACTTAGATAACTGTGTTTATTTTTCACTTCAATTCCATGAATCAACAGATGTCGTTGACACTGCCCAGATGGCCGTGTTCGTCAGGATGGTTTTTAGTGATTTTACGATTAAAGAAGATCTTTTGAAGTTTATTCCACTGAAAGAACACACTACTGGACAGGAGTTGTTTTCTCATTTAAACAATATTATTTCTTCCGAGAAAATTCCAATATCGAAAATGGTAGGCTTGACAACCGATGGCGCTCCAGCTACGGTGGGTTGTGATAAGGGTCTGGTGGCGTTATGTCGTAAAGATGAAACTTTTCCGCAATTTATCTGTTACCAATGCATTATCCATCAGCAAGCATTATGTGGAAATTTCCTGAAACTAAACAACGTTATGAAACTGGTGGTAAAAATTGTGAACAAGATTAGAGCTCAAGCGTTACAAAAAAGATTATTCAAAACCTTGGCCGATGAAGTTGACTGTCAATACGGGGACCTACTCCTTCACTCTGAAGTCCGATGGTTAAGTAGAGGACGGGTGCTGAAACGTTTTAATGATGTCCTATCTGGCATAGTTCAATTTTTCAAACAACGCGATGAACCGACTCCGGAACTAGAAAATTCAATCCGGCTTAGAGATTTTGTTTTTCTCGTGGACATTACAGAGAAATTAAACGAACTTAATTTGCAGCTTCAGGGGAGAGACAAAGAACTAGCGGAAATGATTTCTGATATAAAATCATTTGTCAAAAAGCTGGAGTTTTGGGAATAAAACCTAATTAATAGCGATGCCAAGCATTTTCCTATTCTTTCAGAAAAAATATCTCAAAATCCATTAGAACCCTATGACAGCAAATATCATGTAGAAATAGTTTCTACCCTGAAGAATAACTTCAAAAATCGTTTTAAGGATTTCAACGAAATGGCTTTAGTAGCGCAGTTTGTTGTTTCACCCTTTATGGAAATTGATATCCAACAGTTTGCAACTTGAGTTATGCAGAACTTTGGCGAAGACATCACTGCAACAGAAATAGAAGTAATTGAGTTTTAAAATGATTTAGCCTTAAAATCGTTAGTCTCAAGTACCAAATGTATCTGGCCTATTGTAAGTAAAGACAAATATTCAGTTCTATGCCGTGTTGCCTTGAAAGTGAAAGCATTATTCAGTTCAACCTATTTGTGTGAATCATCTTTTTCCAATATGAAGTTTATTAAGAACAAATATCGCAATCGACTTACAGATGAACATTTGGATAATTCTATTCGAATGGCTGTATCAAATTATACTGCAAACATTAAAAAAATTATCGATGAGTCTGAGTGTCAGCCTTCTCATTGAACGTGCTTTTTTATTTTTCAATGTTTATGTTCATGATAGTGCGTTACTTTTTAACCGACTTTAAAAAAGGAGGAGGTTATCAATTCGTCGCGATATTTTTTTTTTTTATGTATGTTCAGCGATTATTCTTTAACACGGTGTCCGATTTCAATGATTCTTTTTTTGTTAGAAAGGGGGTATTTCAGGGGTGGTCCCATATAAATTTAGTCAAAATCTAATAATTGGGTCCATGAGAAAATCCTCAAACTCTTCATTTTTTATGTATGTTCAGCGATAATTTTTTAACACGGTGTCCGATTTCAATAATTCTTTTTTTGTTAGAAAGGGGCTACTTTAGTGGTGGTCCCATATAAATTTGGTCAAAATCTAATAATTGGAATAATGAGAAAATCCTCAAACTCTTCATTTTTTATGTATGTTTAGAGATAATGCTTTACCACCTTGTCCGATTTATACGATTTTTTTTTGTTAGTAAGGGGGTACCTCAGGGGTGGTCCCATATGAATTTGGCTAAGATGTGGTGATGGCATCTGCCCGTTTTTGAAGTCGGTTTTTTTGAATTTTTAATTCGTAATACTTGTTTGTTGTTATTATTAACTATTTTTTAAATCTTACGTGACATGCCGTTGTGGCTGGATAAAAGTTTGTGTTTATTTTTCAAACACCTTCGTTTGGTAGGTAGGAATGTAGCTATGAACAAGTACGTACTAGTAATATTAGTTATTTTGTTTATTCCAAAATTAACAAAGTAGCTCAACACATTGAGAGGTTGCGACCACTGACATAGACTGAAAACATTTACAAAAAAAATAACGGACATGAAGAACAAAAATATTAATGCCATCTTCTTAAAATTAACTAAATAATTATGATTTTTACTGGTCTATCCTGAAAGTACAGTCTAGTAGTTTGTAACCGAGTTTGTAACAGATGCAAGCTTCCATGTGGAAATTAATTTTGAAGGAAAAGCGGAAACCATATTGATGGTTGAAAGGAGAAATAACTAATACTCCACTTTGGCCAAAATTGAGTTATTTATACCATCAGAATCAGCTGATTTTTCTGCATCGATCTATGTATGTTTGATCTCAATAAGACAGTTTTATGGCGTATTAAGCATTTTAATTTTGGCTGGATCATGAGAAACAATGTATTAAATGGCTCTCCTGTGAAGTCACGATACTGGTGTATTAACAGTTTCTTTTTATAACTGTCAATATAAATGAATCGCTTATTTCAGAAACAACTTAAGTCACTTTTTGTTTATATTGGATTTAACACATTGACATTGTTGTTTTAGAACACATGTTTAATGCAGAAAGAACCTAATTCCTGTAAACATCCTTAGTTATATGAAAATTTAAAATATTCGTTTATTTCTGACACAACCTTTGTCCTGTTTCTAGTTCAAAACGTTTTTTTTTTAACCTCCTGGAAACTCTGAAATAGTGACTTAGGTTGTGTCTAAAATAAGCGATTCAAATGGATATTTTACTTAAAGAAGTCTGTTTGGATAGTCTGACATGACCATAATTAATTATGAGCTAATAAATACATTTCTTACTTTTTATGTTTTGGTTCAGAGATCTAAAATATATTTCACATCATGAACTTCTTTTAACAAACGCAAATCTAAAAAAATATTTTTTTATGTTTTGATTCCCTTTTACAACTGTATCATAACAAATTATATGTTTATTTGCAGAGACGCACAGATAGAGAGGAAATTAGAAGAAGGCTTGCCATGGGTTCTGAAGATGACTACTATTCAGATAGACCTGGTAGAAAACCTAGTTTGCAATCTAGATTACAAAGTGGTAAGTATTTTAAAATTAATTTCTAAAACAAATCTGATGAAATATAAATTCAATTTCATCTAAAGATGTGATACAAGTCAATTGATTGTTAAAAAGAATTTTCGTAAAATGTCAGAAAAGTTAACTTTATGTAATGTAATAACTGTTTATTAATATCTGAAAAAATTATTAAGTCAAGAATTTTATTTTAGATATTTTTAACATAATTAAAAATGTGAATTAATTAAAATTAATTAAAAATGGATGTAAAATCTTTAATTTTTCGTTTAAGACTTTATTGAAACTAAAGCTAGTAATATTAAAATAAATGTATGTACTCTCAATATTAACTATAGTTAAAAAGTTATTCTTAAGAGCAATCCAGTCCCTTCTGACGTCACACCGCACGGATCTCACGACCTTCCGTTAAAGTATTTGGAACCTTGTTCGCTACATAAATTTGGCTGTGTATCGTGCGCTGAAGAATAATCATATTGGGTAGGGTCCGATTACAATTATAGTTCGTTGCAAATTATAAGATTTGGAAAAACCCAGTTGTTTTACCCGCGCTGATAACTGTAGTTATTGACAGCGGTCCGAATTATTGTGACCCTTACAGTTCATCAAATTTCTAGAGGTGTTCGACGCCCAGACAGAGAACGCGCTACGTGTGACTAAGATAGCTATTGTACAGTCTGCTAAACAAGTTATTTTAAATAGTTTTTAATATTTTTAGGTAATTAAATTTTAAAAGTGTGGAATAGTTTAGGGATTAAATTGGTCTGATTGGACTTTCTTAGAACGTTTTTAAAAGCAGCTAAAGATAGTATGTAGAATTGAAAATAATTATTATGCCATAAAAGGTGTTTTGGAATTCCTTCAACCTTTTGAAATTGAGTCAGAAAATATAAATTTTATAGGATAGCGGAAAATACCTATAATTTTTTTGTAGGCCTTTGTAAATCGTGGAAATAGTTTATATTTTATTTCTACCTTATTAAGGAAAATGGTACCTATTATTAATAACGGTTGTTTCTGAAACATTACTAAAATTTTCGAAATTTTGTTTTTCTACAAAATAATAAACTATACTATTTAGAAAAAAATTTATTTCTCTTATAATTTTATAAAAAATAACAGGGGAATATTTACATTTCTTGATCTATTAAACAAAACGATAAATTATCTCGCCGAATGACACCATGTTCTAGTACGGAAGCTAGCTTTACATTTTTGTTGGTGGTTTCATATCAATTTTTTGTAATTGTAGTTTACACGTACATATACCTCTTAACACTTGTTTGCTTTATTAAAAAAGTGTGTTGTTGTGATTTACGTCGAAATAAGTCAAAAACAACTTGAAACCCCATATAAAATCAAAAAGGAGAAACGGAAAAAAATTGAGCCTGTAAATGAACACAACTCAGAAACAAAAATAGCTATCTAATAATAAAAAAATAAAATTTGATTCTTGTGCATCTTCGTTGTAAAAATAGATAATACTTTTTTGATATTAGGTACAGATATAATTTTAATGGTCTTCCGAAAAACTTTCTTCAGTTTCCATATCAGATTCAAAATCAGTCTCACTGTCACTGTTTAAGTTAATTATAAATCTATCAGTTGCCTCATCCAAAGTAACTTCTCTGTCATAAAATTTAGATTCCCACATTTTAGCATTATTACAACGAGATTGCCACTCCTCTTTAGAAAACGTATCAAAAAAGTCTTCACACAACAGTTGTACGTCTTGCCTCTTAAATGTAGTGTTGTTACTAGCTACATATTGTTTCAATGATGCCCACACTAATTCGATCGGATTAAGATCGGGATGATACGGTGGCAAACGCAAACAACTAAAACCATGTTCATTTATCATTTCTTCAATTGCATACCTCTTAAATCGTGACTTATGCAATAGCACTAAACTGTATAATTGCGTTTTGAGCATATCCTCTTCGTAAGCAATATTATGATTCCTTAACCAATCCTGCATGTCAGCTTTTTTAGAAGTTGACGTTGGTGCTTTATTTACCTGGACATTATGGTAAGGAGCATTATCAACAATAATTACGCTTCTTGGAGGGAGGTTCGGAAACAGCTTTTCTTTCAACCATTTAGAAAAATTATTAAAATTCATTTCATCGTGGTAGTCTCCACTTTTGGTTCCAGATTTGAAAATTAACCGGGCATTCGAAATAAAGCCCATTTCACCTCCTGCATGGACAATAATTAGTCTATCATCTTTATTAATTGGTTTCTTTAATCCCTCATTTGAATTATCACTCCAAGCTTTCTGGTGTGTGTGGGAGGCATGAATGTATGTTTCATCTAAGTAGACAATTGGACGGCCCTCTGCTCGATAACTTTTTAAACGAATCAGATAGTCTAAACGTAGCTTTTGAATATCAAACCTTTCCATTAATATTTTTCTGTTTGTTTTTGTTTTCCGCCAACGAAATCCTAGCGACTTTATTATTTTTCTTAAACTTTCATAGCTTCCTTTGTACCCTGTAGCTTCTCTAAATTTAGTCAGAATTGTTTTTAATGTTGGAACAATATTTTCCGAGTTTAACATGAACAGAATAATTCTTTTTAAAATACCTTTGTCAGCTTCATCTATATCATTAACTGTTTTTGGTTTTTTAATGGTTTTTCTTAGTGATGAACATTCCGATATCTCACGGTTATCGATTCTTTTTTTCTCTCCAGAAATGCGGACGACAGTGTTTTTAGATACTCCTGTGGCTGCAGCAACACGATCATTTACATTTTTAAATGGTATTGAAGGTGAATTAAAGTTTCCTTCTCTTCTCATAAACTCTATAACATTGGCTATTATTTCGCGAGATTGACTGTTAATCACGCGGCCTCTTAATTTGCTATTAAACTCCATACTTAGGTTCTATTAAACTGTAATGAGCAAAAAACACAAACGAAAATAAAAGAAATGTTTTAGCGAAATTTACATCTGACATTTACGTCTGAATAAAATAGTGAAATACTCATTGATCTGGCAACCTAGGGATACGACATGCGTAAACGAAAAGTGGGACCGGTCCGCCATTACTGTGAGTGCAAATTGTCAAATTTTATAGGTTATATTTTAGTGTCATTTGTGTTATTAAATTTGAATTTAATTTGTGTTTGAGCAAATTTTGAGTGTTAAAAACTTATAAAGTATATAATGCCTTGCTGTGTTATATGTTCCTGCTCTAGCGATAGACGTTTTTGTGAAAAATCGACTGGAATAACGTTTCATAGGTTAGTATCAAAATTATAAATATTATACAGGACAGTATTATGACAGGTTTGTATAAAATGTGTAAAAGTATGCTTTTAAAAATGCAAAAAAATCATCTATCAACTTTTGGGCCCACCTATATTGGAATAAATACTTTTTCATACGAAATAATATTTATAGATTTCCAAAAAATCCTGAAAAACGTATCGCGTGAATACAGTTTGTCAAGAAGCATAATTGGGAACCTTCTAAATTCAGCTGTATGTGTTCCAAGCATTTTCTTGAGAAGTACATTAATCGTACGCTATTTCGTTTATCAAATTTATAGGCATTTTATATATTCTTATTTCTATTTAAATATAACCTACATTTGCGGTCCTTCCACCAATTTTATTTATTAGTTCTACAGCTGATTGAAAAGTAGAGCTTCATGTTTTGTGTATGCATGAGTATTGTTTGTTTTATTATAGTTAATTTAAAACAATATTAATATACCTTTTTAATTACCTATAATTTGTTTCAGATTAGTGCGTTTAAAGGAATTGGTGAAAATGAAGCGATTCGCCAGCTTTGGGGATGTGCCAGTAAAAGTGACATCGAAGTTATTCAACGTTTCCAGAATAAAATATTAAGGAACATCGTCGATGCACCATGGTACTGCCACAATACTGATCTTCATAGGAACCTTAAAGTGGAGACTGTTGAAAATACAATACAAACATTTGCCAGTAGTCACCAACAATGACTGCTCCAACATGGAAACCTCGAGATTATCCAGCTCCTCAACAAGCGACGATTTCCATACTGACAAGTTCCAAAGCACCAAACATTCAGTGCTGTGTTTCGACATATTGGAACACATGGCATACTGTGTTAATATATCTTTTGATATTTAAACTCTTGTAGCTTGGTAACCATGTAGAATTGGATATTTGTTCATAGGACATTTTAGGCTTGAAATGAATTCAGGAATATAATATTTAAGTTTGTACAGTGCATATTATGAACACACTGTATATAAGTTCTAATAATAATAAAAATATTTTCTAATGCCTTGGTATGATTCCCCACTCGACCATTCACTGTTGGGTTCTAATAATTAACAGTGCTGTTCCTGAAGTGGCGCTGGGAAACAGTAACAAAGCCTGCACAGAACACAATTATTAAGAATTTAAACACAAGCTTGAGACTGGCATATTAGGTATATACACCTTGGCCATAAGTCGAAAAAAAAAATAACATTAGTCTTTTTTTAATGAGACTAGCAATAAAATCATAACCGTTTGTCTAGTATTAAAAATAAATATCACTCATAGATATGAATAAAAAAATATTAAAACTTTATTCCTTGTACACTTTTATTTAATCACAACACACATTATTTGCATTTACAATATTTGCTTGACGTTCATATGCCCCAGTCTGTTTTGTTCACCTTTTCTAGTAGCTTTTTCTGCTAAACTCTAGTCCCTGTTCTACCTCCACCTAGGTAATGAATTATTCAACCATTTAGTCAACAACGGGGTTTTACTTGTTTTACAGTAAGATACTTATCTTTAATGTTCAAGTTTTAGAATTTGAACTTGGATTAGGCCATTTTCGTCAATTTTGTTCTTAGAGCTTTTGGAAAAACACTTGGGAAGTACTCTCACAAATTTATTTATTTTGCCTAGCGAAGAAATTGTGTATTAGAAAATATTCTGGTTTTTACCTTAGTGGTTAAGAAAAGCACAGTGGATACTTTTCCTAACTCAATAAAACATTTATTACCTAGATG